GCCATACAATTTGCTAAGCACTTTTTATGGAATATTTCATTTTGTCATAATACCAGCCATGTGAGTTAGGTACTGTGGTTCCTAATTCATGAGGAAACTGAGACTCAGAAAGATTAAGTTACTTGCTCAAGGTCACACAACTAATAAGCTCAAAGCCAAGACCCAAACTTAGGTCCTTCTGACTATGCTGTACTGATTTTTTTAAGAGCTCAGGAAAAATGGAGAGAGTAAGAAAAGATCTGAGCACATGAACCAACCTGTCACCATGAGCCAGGATGGTGACAATGGGAACAGATGAGCTAATTTTCCAAAGCTTTTTCTCTTCCTGTATTGGCTTTGACAGGATCGCTTTGCATTGTCAAGTCCCCTGACTGATCAAAATTAGAGGACAGAGAAGTCTCACCTCACTCAAAAATTGGTCTTTCATGTCTTCTGGGTTCATCAGAACTGGGATAAGAAAATCTGCTTTCAGGATTCCAAAGAGTTGCCCCGAAAAAGGAAGTACTGCCTGGCTCAGAGGAGATTATCTCGTAGCCATTTGAAAACTTCAAGTTCTTGGCAGTCGGGAGTGCCCCCTGGACACCACAGATGCTACATGGTGATTTAGGATTTCAAAAAGAAAGAAGAAACTGCTGGACAGAAAAATGCTCGGGCACAACCAGATAGTGGCTGACAGGAAAGGGTCTCATGGGTGGAGTAACCACTGCTCTCTCCCCATATCCTGGCCACCCTCAGGCAATTATTTTCTTTTCTGTCTCCTCAGTATTTTCCTTCTTCCTTCTTTTTTCTTTTCTTTTTTTTTGGCATGCCACGCAGCTTGGAGGATCTTAGTTCCCCAACCAGGGATCGATCCCTGGACTGCCAGGGAATTCTTGCTTCTTCCTTTTACTAAATCTGTTGAGTAAATATCCCACACCATGCTGGAAATATTCACCTCTCCCCTGGACCCACATTTGTAAAGGCCAACTGTACCCCAGAAAACTCGTAAGTTCTCTGAGCCTATCAACAGGCTCAGCCTTTGGCCACGAACGCTGTAATCACAGGAACTACAGCCTCATAATAGGACTACTCTATATCTGTACAGCATTTTATAGTTTATAAAGTACCTTTGCATAATTATCTCATTGGGTACTTGAAACAACCCTGTGATGTAGGCAGGGTCGTTTTTACTACGTCCCTTTTGCATATGAGAAAGAGGAGATTCTGAAGTAAGGAAACATGCCCCCGGAGCTTTCACAATCGCCAGGGAGCTAACCAACTCTAGGATCCTCATCCTTGTTCCCTTCCCATTTCAGGCTGTCTTTCAGAAAAAGGTCTTGAGCGCCCTATGCTAAGGAGTGGCTGTCCAGATTTAACTGCCTGGTCGTTAAGAGTGGGAACTTGGTAACCAGAAGCAGTTACCTGGTGTTGGTGCTAGAGTGTTTTCTTTAGAATCTGGGTGATTAGATGAGCTCAAATGTTGGGCCTGAGTGGCAATAGCTGCATCTGTCATATCAGTGCCACTCCTTTCACTGGTCACAGCTACAAGAGGGGAAAATAAAGGAGCTATTGCAAATACAGCCAGAAGCAAGGTGGTCTGAGATTGGTGACTGCCCCTGAGCTAGAAGACAGGCACGGGCAGCCACCATCCTGCAGAAACCATCTGGGGTGGGACGCTCAGTCCCTGCCAATCCTTCACTTACCTCCGTAGGCTCATGTACCCGGTAGCTACAGCATCATCTCTCATAAAGTGTCTCTGATACCAGGATTTGTGGGGCTTAGCAATATTATAAGATGTCTCCTCAGGAGCGAGTGTTTATTTTCAGCAGTTCCTACCCCAAGAGTCCCAGTGCCCTTATGTAGTCTGCCAGCTACACAGGGCCCCCACCATGGCACCCAGGAACCCCCAACCTCTCCATCAAGGGGTAGCACCTCAAACTCAAAGTACATATTCCAAAACCAACCTCAGCCTCTCCCAGCAGCCTCCTCACCCCCTTTATGGTGCCCGTCTACTGAGGCTCTCCAGCTGCTCCCTTACTCCCTCTCACTCGCTGTCACGTTCAGTCACCAAAGTCCTGTCAGTGCCTTGCAGATGTCTTTTTTTTTTTTTGAAATATGGAATATTTGAACCATATTGTTCTTGTGGTATATTACTGTAAAATATTTAAGCAGAAGTATCCCCTCCCCTGACCCAGGGACAACCACTATTAACAGTTTGCTATAGAATATCCTTCACACACTTGAATTTTTTAATTTGAATGCGTAGAGATCTACCTTATTCTCTTTAAAGGCTGCATAGTATTTCACTGAATGTACCATAACTTATTTAATCAATCTGCTTTCAATGGACATTAGATTGCCTCCAGTTTTTCACTGTAATAAACAATGCTGCAACAAACAACCTGTGTGTGGAGGACACGTATATATGTGTATGTGCACCTTGTACTATTATTTCCTTAATAAATTTCCAAGGGTAGAATTTCTGTATGAAAGAGTATGCACATTTCGGAACTAACAGGCATTGCAAGAATGGTAGCACAAGTTTACTGTGCTATCCGGTGTCTGACAGTGCTGATTTTCTCACATTCTTATCAGCATTATCACCCCAGATCTTTGCCAAACTGCTAAGCTAGAACAAAGAACTTTTTAATGCATCTTGCTTTTAATTTGCACTGCTATGATTCAATGAACAAAGCTAAGCATTTTTTAAAATGTGTTTGTACTTCTATTTCTTCAATTAATGTCACTTGCAAACGATGTAAAATCAGTTCCCTCATGTCCCTCCTTGCTCCACTGCTCCAGATCTGGCCTCGGTTCCACTCTCCCGGACTGTGCAAGTCTTTCCCCACACATACACTTCCTGTGTCTCCTCTCCAAAATGCCCTCTTCTTACTCCACCCAAAGCATTGTACATTTCTTCAGTGAAATAAATGAGTTTGTAAAATCCAGAAGCACAGAAGGGGGGAAACACTCATATTCTTGTTGCCTGAATTTAACCATTGTTAACATTTTCACACATTTCTTTACAATCTTTTTTTCCCAAGTATAGGTTGATGTTTCCTTTCATCATTATTGTGACTGTGTTATATGTATAATGTTGAATCATCTGTTTTCCTTTAGCATCCTGATACAGGCATTGCCCCATGTCATTAAAACCACCTTGCTTCTATTGACTACAGAGCTGACCATTTTGCTCACTTGCTAAAAACCTCTGATGGCTGTGCTGACTGCAGGATCCGGTCCTTCAGAATTTGGCCTGTCTACCTCTTTCTTTCCCCTCATCACTTGCCGCATCCTTCCCAAATATGTGACCGACACTCCAGTCACATCAGACTGCTTGTCTTTCCCAAACCACACATTTCCACATCTACCTATCTTTGCCCATGCTGTTCCCTCTGCCAGGAAGAACCTTCTAGCCTTTGCTGCCTGAGGAAATCCTCCATTACCTTTTGTCCAATTACCACCACCTTTCCAGGCAGAATAAATGAGTCATTTTCTTGCCAAGACTCTTGGTTCACCCTTCTGCAGCAGCACTAATTAAACTGTCCTGGTTGTCTCTATTAGCCCCTATTAGACTAAGCTCTTTTAAAAACAGGAAGCAGGTCCTGCTCATCTTGGTATCCACTGCCTTGTTCAAAATAGGTACTCAGGAAATGATTGTTGAATTAAATCATCTACCAGTGTGCAAAACACTATTCTAGGCCTGGGAAAGATATAAAGAAGCATAAAACATAAAACTGCCCCTGCCCTGTGAGATTTCACAACCTTAATAATTCATAATTGTGATCATTCATAATCATTTGTAATTAATAAAGTAAGACTGAGGCCAACCTTGTCTATTGAATAAGGTAAGGACAGATGGGAGACTGAATCACTAAAACATTTCACTACTGAATTGAGACTAGAATAGTAATAACTACCATTCATTGATGCCAGGCACTGAAGGATAACTCTTGACATTTGGTGTTTTTCTTCACTTTAAAAATGAGAAAAATGAAGTTCGGAGAGGTTAGGAAGTTTGCCTAAGACCACACAGTAAGTAGAAGACCCAGCATTCCAACCCTTGACCGAAAGACTCCTCTAGCCAAAGATAGGTTTTTCTCCCCTAGATCGCCCCACCCTAAATTATTATCTAGGGGGAGGATGAGGGGGTGAACTGGCTCTAGGATCCCCCATGGAGTGATCTGGAATGCACCTGGGGCCGGGAGATGTGGCCCAGCACATACCCTCACCCCCTCAACCTCCCTGACTTGTGGCCGGTCATGGAATCCGAGGGCTTGGTCTCCCCAGAGGAAGACCCAGGCGCCAGGTCGGTGTCCCCAACCCCCAGCGACGCGAGTGGGCGGGCACCTGTCTCAGGCTCTGGCCGGCTGCCGGCGGTCTCAGGCGTGCGGCCTGGCTCGGAGCTACCCCGTCCTGGCACGCCGTTGTTCTCTGAGGCCCAGCCGAGCTCCCTGAGCCGGAAGGCTCCGAGGTGCTCTCTTCCGTCCCCAGAAGCTCAGCGCTGCGGTACCGGCTGGACGTGGCAGACCCGGGGGGCGCCACTATCCCCGGCTGAGCCGAGGCCCCGCGGGTGGAGCCGGGCGAGGGCCCCGCTGCGTCCTCCTGCGGCGTCCCCCCGCGGCGTCCCGGGCCCGCCCTGGGTCACGGGGTCCTCCGGGGGCGCGGGGTCAGGAGCAGGGCTCGAGGCGGAGGCCAGAGGGGTCTCGGTCACTTCCTGGGGGACAGAGGGGCTCCCCAGGAGCGCGGGGCTCGAGGCTGGGGTCGGCGCGGAGGCCGGGGGCACGGGGCCGAAGGACGTATTCTGGGCGGTGACCAGCGGGGTCGAGGGCCCACCGTCGCGGACAGGGCCGTACCCAGGGATCTCGAGGTGGGTCGGAGGGCTCGGCACCGCCGTCCCTTGGGTCTGTGGCGCCGCAGGAGGCGCGGGGGGCGGGGCCCGAGCTCGGCGGGCTCCGGGCTGACTAGCTGCGGAAGCCGCGCCGCCGCAGCCGGGCCCTGCGCGGGGCCGGCGCTGGTCCCTACGCCAGAGAGAAGGCTTCCGTGGGGCCCGCTGCGCCGAGCGGCCGGGGAGGGGATGCGGGGGTGGACCGCGGCGCGCGGTTTTTCCGCGCCCGGCCCTGCACACCCATCGCAGACAGGGCTAAGCCGGAGGGCCTCCTGACCCCGCCAGGTGCTGCCTGGGCCAGGTGAGACCTCAATGGGAAGCAGAAGACAGGCTCTTCCCCCTCTTCTCAACCTAATCTGTTGCCTCCAGGGGGGCGGGGGCGCGTTCCTTAGCAGCTCACAGGGACCCCACCCCTGCAGGACCCGGGCCTCCCCGCTCAGCGCTACGCACCCCGACCCCCTCCACTCCCTCTGCAAGTTAACTTCGAAATCACCTCCTCCAGGAAATCCTCGTTTAATTACAGGAGCGGGGACAATCCCCTTCTCTGTGTCCCCACCATGCCTGTGACTACACAGGCAACACTGCCTGTCAGGAGCCCTCTTCCCAGCTGGCTGTCAGCTCCTTCAGAACAGGCCCTGCCTTTTCCTTGTGTCCCTGGAATGAATAAAGCTCTGTGCGACCGTGAGCAAGCCCCCTAACTTCTCTGTGTCCTCAAAAAGGCAGTAATACCATTGTCAGATGTAGGAATCTGTAAAGATGCCAGGAGAACAGTGATTTTTGCCCTCAGTTATCCTAGTTTGCTTCAGACCTCATGGGAAGCAAAATGAGGCAATAGCTGTGAAGATGTTTCAGGAATTTAAAGATGCTGAAGGAACACTATCACTGTCATTCCCAGCCATGTCCCCACAACTCATCTCTCATCTTCTCTCCTCCCAGAAAAGCCCCAAATTGAAAGGGATTTGTCCCTCTATTGCGCTTCCCTCTCTGGATGCTGAACCTCAGAGGCCTCTCTGATGATTTTTCCTCAGAAGTATTGCTCAGCTGGGCAGTGAGGGGGTCTTCCCGTCTGTCTCCCAGGCCAGGCCCTCATCACCTCACCTGAGAGACTGCACAACCTCTCTTGGGTCCCCTGGCCCGGGAGCTGCAAGTCCAGTGGCCCAGTTCAAGGAAGGAGGTTGATGGTGACCGAGTCCTCCTCCTCTAAACCCCAGCCGGCCCAGCAGAGCCGGGGGGGGGGGGGGGGGGGGGGGGGGGGGGGGGGGGGGGGGGGGGGGGGGGGGGGGGGGGGGGGGGGGGGGGGGGGGGGGGGGGGGGGGGGGGGGGGGGGGGGGGGGGGGGGGGGGGGGGGGGGGGGGGGGGGGGGGGGGGGGGGGGGGGGGGGGGGGGGGGGGGGGGGGGGGGGGGGGGGGGGGGGGGGGGGGGGGGGGGGGGGGGGGGGGGGGGGGGGGGGGGGGGGGGGGGGGGGGGGGGGGGGGGGGGGGGGGGGGGGGGGGGGGGGGGGGGGGGGGGGGGGGGGGGGGGGGGGGGGGGGGGGGGGGGGGGGGGGGGGGGGGGGGGGGGGGGGGGGGGGGGGGGGGGGGGGGGGGGGGGGGGGGGGGGGGGGGGGGGGGGGGGGGGGGGGGGGGGGGGGGGGGGGGGGGGGGGGGGGGGGGGGGGGGGGGCAGGGAAATCCCTCTCCATAAGTGGCCCATGGTCGCCACCCCGTTGGTTCACCTCTTTCCTGGCCCCTCCCTGGCCCTTTGGGGAGGATCCCATGGGACCCACCCCGTGCTGCTGCATCCAGGCTACCCTCTCCACTTCCTAGGCCCTGGAGACCCCAGAATCCAGCCAAGAACAGGTTCAAAGCACCCATAGAGAGCAGAAAACAGGGGAGGGTACTTGGCCTGGGCGTTGTCCCCATGGTCACTTCTGAGGAGGGTGTGTAGGAGAGCTGAGGGAGGGCTGCTGACTCCCGGTGTCCAATGGTGGGGTCTGCAAGAAAACACCACCGGTGAGTGTGAGGGCAGGGCTGATGGGGGACACAGCACCCCCAGGTCTGCCACAGCCGACACGCCTGTGAGAGGTCCCACCAGACACTGATGACCAGCCTCCCGTCACAGGAGCCAAACTCAGGAGGGCCCCTGTCACAGGACAGGTATGTTCACAATCTTTATTCCTCACAACAAGGGAGGAACCATTCTTCCTATTTTACAGATAAGGATCATGATTCTCATCAAATCCAGAATACAAAAAGAAAACAGCCAAGAATAGGCAAATCCACAGAGACAGAAAGTAGATTAATGGTTGCCAGGGCTGAGGGTGTGAGAGAATGGGGGGTCACTGCTAAAGGGTAAGGAGTTTCTTATTGGGGGTGATACAAATGTCTTAAAATTAGATAGTAGTGATGATTGTACCACCTGGGTATGTACTAAATCTCACTATACTGGCCACCTCAAAAGAGTGAATTTTAAAGGTACATGAATTATATCTCAATAAGGCTGATACAAACAAGAATAAAGGAAGGGAGGAAAGAGAAGAGAGATGGAAATGATAAGGCAGGATGAAGTCTGTTGCTGAGGAGACGTTTCACGCACAAGATCCAGAATAACCAGGTGGGCCTCTGGTTCCCATGTGACTGTGGTGACAACAGCAGTGTCAGTAGCTAGTATCTTTTGGGTGCTTACTCTGTGCCAGGGTCTCTACTAGGTCCCTTATATTTATTCTCATTCATTCTTCAAAGCCGTCTTATGAGGTGCGTCATCAATACCATTTTGTTTTTTCCACATGAGGGAAATGAGGCTCAGAGATGCCGCTCATCTTATTTCTAGCAAGTGATAAAGTCTGATTCCAAAGCCCACACTTTTAACCTCTTTACTGCGCAATAAGTAATTGCTGTTGCTAATTGCTAATGCCCTGAGGCTAGATGGAATTAGCCATTAAATTAAATTAAAACCTGTTCCAGAACTCTGCTCCCCTCAGAATCTAGAAATACTTCCTTAGGTGTATCCTCACCACCTCCGGCTGCCAAGAAAACCCATTTCCCATCCCAGCCTAGCCTTGGTGGGTCAAGGGGCAGCAGGGACGACTGTCACGCACCATCGAAGCAGATGAAGGGTTTCAGGGAAGAGCAGGCCACTGCAGAAATTCTGGGGGAGAAGCTCCAGTAGCTGCGGAGACCCGCACACAGTCCTGCCCCGAACTCAGGCACCTGCAGCCAGGTCGGGACGCTGGCACCCGTGTCGCTGGACCATCTCAGAGACCCAGAGGCCACACTGAAGTAGAGGCCAATCCAGGCCTTAGTCTTACTCGTGATGGATTTCAAGGCCTCCTTGTCTGTCTCCTCAGTCACTGTCTGCAGGTCAGCCAGGTCTGTGTGGTGTCTGCAGCAGTACCTCACAGCTGCCAGCCACTTCCTTTCTTGGTCAGATCGCTTGAGGTTCAGATTGCCGATCTGAACCTCGGCTGCGGGCAAAGAATGTAGAGACCACAGGCTTGAGGTCCAGGATCTCTGCCTGCTCAGCCCTCATCGCCCCCAGGACAGAGCCCTGGTTTGGGCCCTGCCCTTGTTCCCCATCCTCAGGTGTTAGGTTTGATCAAACCCACAAGTCTATAGACAGACTAAATACCAGACTGGGAGAATGAATGAGCTATCATAGCAGCAGCTGGGGGAAAGACCATTCATTAGGAAAGGCAGGGGTTAAGAACTCTCCTCTTGGCTGTATGGCCTTACAAGTCAAGTCTAAGCCTCAATTTCTCCATCTGTACAACAGGGATAATAATAGTACCTAAATGTATTTCGTTTAAAGGATTAAATGAAACCACGTATACAAATGATTTACCACAGCATGTGCAAATATTAAACACTCAATTAAATGGTAGGGTTAAACTTTGCGGGGAGGTGATGAGGGAGATGGGACGATCCTGGTCTGGAATCAGCCTCATTTGTGGTTTCCAGGGCCTGTGCCTGCCGCACGGGCTCTCAGGAGGCTCCCGGCTGAGGCAGGATAGAGGGAGTGTGTGATAGTCTCAGGCTCACACCATCAGGAGACCCAGGGACGAGAGGTGAGCCTGGCGAGGGGCACACCTGCTGGTCAGTGGCCCTGACTTCTGGTGGAGCTGAGACCAAGACTCAGCCTCTCACAGCCTCTACCTCCAGCCCCCGCCTGCCCTGTCCCTGGCCAGGCCTGTCTCATCTGCAGCACACAAGCATCTGTGATTCTAAACAAGGGAAGTTTGGAAAGGAAGTGCTTTGGCACCACCTGAGGGATTGATTCCAGAGACCTGTTAAAGGAAACACCTGTGTTTGCAAAATTGGGAATCACATCCTCAGAGTCAAATAGGGCCTCCCAAACTCTCTGACACATGCCTGCTTACCGAAGCCCCGTCAAGATCTGCCTGATATTTCTCTCATGTTCCCTATCTAAACTGGTCTTTTAAAGCTACCCTTTTCTAAGCACCTAGTCCTCGCCAGCCCTGAGCTTTGTGTGTCGCACACGTCATCTTTTAAAATCCTCACTATAATCCTGAGACGCAGATGTTATTAACCTCATTTACGGAGGAGAAAAGGGAGACTTGGGGAGGTGATGACTTGCCCAAACTCATGCCTTATTAAGTGGCAAGATGAGATTCAAATGCAGGTCCGCCCTCCTCGGAAGCCTGTGCTATCTTCACTCCACAGCGCCATGTTCCACAACAAGCAGAAAACCAACTTTACAAAGCAGGCTGAGGAGTGAATTTCCTTTGAAATGTCTCTAACCAGACACCAGGAAACGCTTTGTAAAGTATCAGGGCAGTGGGGGCTTCCCTGGTGGCGCAGTGGTTGAGAGTCCGCCTGCCGATGCAGGGGACGCGGGTTCGTGCCCCGGTCTAGGAAGATCCCACGTGCCGCGGAGCGGCTGGGCCCGTGAGCCATGGCCGCTGAGCCTGCGC